ACCCTTTATTTTATAACTGATTTAAAGATTTACATTAGGCTTCATCCCAGGAGGATGAAGAGGCTGAAGCAGTCATGCTAAGTTCAGTAAATACAGAAAACTAGTCAGAGATTTTCTTCCTCTGACACTTGGAGAGGTGGTTGCAGCATACGAGCTGACAGAAGACCCAGTATGATGGCTCCTCACCCATTAAGCCAGGTGCTTTCTAAAAAAGGAACCTGGACAAATAAAGCCTCATTTGTAGTTTTTATTAATGATAATAATTCACATGTCCCTATTGAGTAGAAAGTGTCAGTTCTCTAATCCAATCATAGGGCGTGTGAGATTAGATTAAAATATTTATAATTCTTTAAAATAGTTTCTTTATATTCCTGTATGATACAATTCCATGGCCTTACTAAGTCTGATCCTTGTTGCCTATCTTTGATTCTGAATTAACAGGAGAGAAGAATGAGGCCTTGTTTGATTTGTGATCTGAGAGTACCTTGAGTGAGTTTCCTGGTGCCCTACCTGGTTTTCGCTTCCTCCTGGTGACCTGTAGAATTTGCACTTGCTGAAGCTTGCACTTTTCTTGTATTTTAGAATAACAGGCTTCTCATAAGTATCTGTACTTTCTCATCCTTCTGGATTAAGTAGCACTGAGGACCACAATGAACAATTTCTGAGAAGATCTCTCAGTAGTAGATTACTGGTAAAAGGTTTTCAAGCATAATAAATTGGTTCACTGTACTCTGGATCTTTGAGTCTTGAGATAAAATACAACTGAGAGGCTTAAACCAAAACCAGATCCACTGATCCTAAGTCAATTCCAATTCATAGTGACCCTAGAGGACAGAGTAGAACTGTTCCAGAGGGTTTCCAAAGTTGTCAGTCTTTACAGAAGCAAAGCCCAAACCACACCCACTGCTGTGTAATCAATCTATTCCAACTCACAGCGCCCCTAGAGGACAGAGTAGAACTTCCCTACTGGATTTCCAATGCTGTCAGTCTTCATGGAAGCAGACTGCCTCATCTTCCTGCTGTGAAGCACAGCAGCCGAGTGCCTTAACCACTGCACCACCAGAACTCCTATGTGATGTGTTTAGCATGACCATATAGACATTTCCAAGAAGAGTTCAAGGGAAAAGCACACCAGTCACCCCTATTTCTAATAAACTACTAGAAAATTAACAGCCTCTGCCTGGCAGAAAACCCCAGGCCCCAGAAAGCCTACTGGGCCACTAGGCTTGCCACCAGAAACTTGCTGAGACGACCGTCTTGGCAATAAGAACGTTGCCAGTGGTTTAAAGCTAAGCTCTTTGTGGCTGAGATGTTTATGTCAAAGCAGCATCTGTAATTTCCAGAAAAGTATTATATTTGTGAGGCCCCAAATGCTGCTCCCAGAGTTGTGTTCCTGCTGTACTTCTCTCGCGCTGCTGACAGGACACTGTAGGTCTCAGCAGGTCACCAGTGCCCCCTCCCTCAGTGGGCGCTGCACTGGCCACAGGTGGTGCCGGGAAGTATGGGGCATGGTGTCTGTCAGAAAGGGGTGTTGAGAAGCCTGATGGAATGCCTAGTGAAGCAGCTTTGACTAGAACAGGAAGTTCTGGGGGTCCTGTCCGTGCACAGGGCGGGGTGTTGTGATGGGGAGAGTCAACATCTTAAACCCTGGTAACAGGAAGCTGATGAGAGGTGAGCAGGCTCACTGGCTTCCTGCAGCAGGGTCAGAGGGCACGCCCTTGAGTCTGCCCAGCCTTGTGCTGTGCTCGGCTCAGCTGGACTTTGGCATGATGGAGCCGCGTGAGGACGGCTGCATGTTGTTGGACGCCGAGTGTTCACAGGAGCACATCGCCAAGTCCTTCCTCCTGCTGGTGGTTTCGAACTGCCAACCTTTTGGTTGCCAACCAAGTACTTAACCACTGCTCCACCAGGGCTCTTTGAGAGTTTCTCAGGCATTTCCTTCGGGTGGTGGAGTTTCTAGTTGTAACCCAAGGCATGTGATGTGGAAGTCATTGATCTCAAACAGACGTTATTTTACTGAATATCTCAGTAGTGGTTAAAATGTGTCGTTTCTGAAGGTATTTCTGGAAGCATATATGTCAGTTCTGGAATAGTTTGGGCTGCGGCAAAGTGATGGTGTCCGTGAAGGCAGGGAAAGCCGGGGTGTGCGCCTGGGAGGGGGGCAGCTCCAGAGCAAGTTCACCCATGGGTGCTGGACTGGGCCCCTTCAGGTGGGTGCCTGAGGGAGGCAAGGAGAGGGAGAAGTGGTGTACGGCCAGCTGAGCACTCCAGCCGGGACAATAAGAGGTGGCCCTGCGGGGAAGGGTGTGGACGAGACAAGGACAAATGTGGGACAAGATGTGAGATGTGGAATGGGTTAAAGCCGCCCTTTCCCCGCTGGCGCCTGGTGGAGTCAGCCCAGCCGGCCCCGGCTTCTCCGATTGCAGGGCGGCGGCAGGCGGGCCCCTCCCGCAGCTCCTCCAATGGCAAGGGGGCGTCCCGCTCGCTGCCCGCCCTCCTCCTCCCTCCCGGCTGCAGCAGCCTGGGCCGCGGCTGGCTCGCGGCTCCCCGCCTGCCGCCTTCCGTTGCAAAGCATTTCTGGGAGCTGCATGTGGGTGACGCAGCAGCATTGTTCGCAGGCACAGCACAGGAAGCCGCGCGGGTTGAGGGCTCACAGGGAGCTCCGCTGGGAGCCTTCAGGGCTCGAGCTGGGCTGCCCTGCCGCGGGCTTCAGGGAGCTTCCAGAATGTTCAAGTAAAGCGGATTTTCCTGGAGGCAGACGATCCAACTCCTTCAGCACAACTTCCAGTACAGAAAAGAAAACAAAGACACTGGGGAAACTTCAACCAAGAGCCTCAGCAGCTCCCAAGCAACGAGACACAAGGTCAGGCAGGCGGGCTGCAGCCCTTTCTGTTCTGGGGTGGTGTGTGTGACTGGGGGGACTGTCTCAGCCAAGAGGCAGAAGAACTGCCTGCTGGGCTGGCCGAGGACAGTGCTGGGTGACTTTTGGTGGTCGGGCCATCACTGCACTTGTTCCTCACCTGGTGGAATGTGCTTTTGAATCGGGTTTCTCAGCTTTGGGGACTCCTCTCCCCTTCTCAGCCCAGACAGTCTCTTGTCTCGTCCCCTTCCTGTGATCTGTGGGGTGCGAGCTTAGGTTTGAATGTTCTCCCAGATGTGGGAGTCCAGACAGTCGTCTGCCTTTCGCACCCCTCCCCTGTGCCCCCACCCCCAAGTCCCCGCTGCCATGAGGGCGGTGGATTCTTTATGTGGTTCTGGAAGGGCTCAGCTGGACTGTGCTTTTTTTTTTTCCCTGAGAGCAGGGCGTGCTTGGTTGAACGGACCAGCAAAATCGGGCTTGGGGGGGATCTGCAAGCCCCCACACCCCGTCACCGAGCCGTGGATGTGCGCACAGCTGCCCCAGCAGACAGTTTCTCCACCCACTGGCCCAATCCCCCGCAGGTTCCGCAGGTAGAGTTAGACTGCATGGGTGAGAACAGCGAAGTTCCCTTCCCACTCTGTGCGGTCTGTTTTGCTGAGAGTGGAAAGTCCCTGTTTGTGGACAGCACAGCTCTCGGGTAGAGGAAATGGGCAGAGTCCTGCTCGGTGCAGGGGGTGGGGGAGGGGAGCTGGGCGCTCCCAGAACACGTCTTGAATGGAGCTGGATTTTCACCCTGGGGAGTTCGGGAGCCCGTACCACAGCCCTGTCCCACGTGGCATGCACCCCGCCTCTTCACCCCCACGCAGTGTGGTGCGAACAGGAGGCTCCGGAATAGGGTGCCATAGCAACTCGAAGTAAATAAAACGGCTGCAAATGAAATCTGTTTGGGGGGGGCGAGAGGCATCTGGAGGCTTGGCAAAGGAAGTCTTCGTGGAGGAGCTTCTTGGGTTTGAGTTAGAGGGTCCTTCCCAGTCCCCGACTCTGGGATTTGGAACTTGATCCTCAGGCTAAGGATGAAAGAGCTCTGTAACAGAACGCCTCCTGCTTCAGCAAGTCCTGGTCTCTAGGCACAGAGCCCACGGGATTAGGGGAATGGTTGTTAGGGATGCCCCAGGCACTCTGACCTGTCCAGGATCAAAGTTTAGGCTTCTCTGAAACAGTTAATACCCTGCATATACTTGAGGCGGTCAGGGAGGGGACAGTGTCACCTGCCTCTGGGTTACCTTCTGCTGTTGCCATTGCCTTAGGGCTCCTGAGGTCAGAGGATGGGGGATTTCATTGGCTCAGAGGTTTGGGCTTCACTAAGTTCTGTTTAAAACATAAAAGGTTTGATTCAAACTAACACTCAGCCAGTGTGATTCACATAACTCCCTCCAGTCATCCAGACTAGATTGGCTGAAACCTTGAGAACTCATCCCAAAGATTGTTTCTGCTCCACTTTTAAGAATAAAGGCAAATAACTCTGTGTGTGTGTGTGTGTGTGAGAGAGAGAGAGAGAGAGAGAGAGAGGAGAAAGACAGACAGACAGATGGGGTTGTTCTGAGATTGTGATGTCTATAATCAGCCTTAGAAGAACAGGCCTGAGTTGAATAAGGATGTGGAGGCTCTGGTGTTCGTTTTGTTTAATTCTGTATTAGCCAGTCATTTCTATACCACTTTGCTTCCATCTGCAAAATGAGGGCACTACTTTACTACCTGAAATTAAGTGGTGTAGAAAAGGAAAAGGGTGATACCTGTAAAGATTTACTGTCAGCCTGTGGGACTGCAGGGCAAGTAGCACTTGTCACCACAGCACCTGCTTCTCGAGAGGAAGTGTCAGCAGGACAGGAATACCCAAAGGCTGGAAGCAAAGGTGAGCGCAGCCCCAGTAGGACCACACTCATCTAAGTTTGCATTTCTCTTTCATCCCTGATTTACTTGTTTTGAGTTGAGTCTCTCTATGAAGGAAAAACATGAAGCGTTACTAGCTTGCCCTCCTCTCGGTGCTTGGGGAGCTGAAGCTAACCCTGGATGCTGTTGGGATGCTTGGCTCTTTGTTCACCGTGGCCTGCTTCTCCCCCTTCTTCTGTCTCACCCTTAGATTTTGCTGGAGGAGCTTGCCAACAGTGACCCCAAGTTAGCCCTCACTGGAGTCCCTATAGTACAGTGGCCGAAAAGGGATAAGGTAAGAAACTTCTGCTGGATCTTCAAGCTGCTTCAGCGTGTTGCTGACTGGTAACTGCCGTTCCAGGAAGAAAAACAACTAGAGAGCAGACAGCTTTTCTGGATTCATACAAACTGACAGAAAATGATGACTGTGTTTTGCGTTGATTCTTAGGGTAATCAGCTGTCTTTGGAGGTGATGGTCTTAACGGACCCATCAGACTGGGGGGCTGCCCTCCAGATTCAGATGTCAGGCTGTGCACTTGGTCCCCAGAATGGCCTGGTCCCTGTTTTCTGAACCGGTGGCTCAGTTATCCTCATAGATGAGGTTTCAAGTGAATTGAAGTAATTATCTATCTGTTCAGAAGGCTGGAGAGGCAGGGCAATGTCTGTCTTGTAGGATTACCATGCTCTCAAGACCCCCTGAATGTGAACTTTTCAGCATGGACTTGAAAAGAGAAGAAAAAGTTTACCCATCAGCAATGAATTGTCAGTTGTGCATTTTAAAGACCTCTTGAGTTGTTGTTGTTGTTGTTATGTGCCGTCGAGTCGGCCTCGACTCATAGCGACCCCTCCTTGGGTTTCTGAGGCAGTTATCACTACGGAAGTAGGATTGCCCAACCTTCCTTCCGAGGAGTGGCTGGTGGGTTTGAACCGCCAGCCGTCTGGTTAGCAGGCAAATGTCTTAGCCACTATGCTACCAGAGCTCCCAGTTCCTGTTAATACTTTCCCATGTTGTCCTCTATCAAGGTTATTAAGTAAAAGCAAGTGGTAGCATTCTAATCATGGCTAGGAGGCTGGTGGAGAAATGACACCCCACTTTGGTGCTCCCCAGCAGAAACATGCAAAGTCATTATGTCCCAGTGCTGTTTAGGCAGCATGTAAAGTGTGATGCTGAAAAATGTCTTGGCAGTGCCACCTTCTCCTCCCTCACTGGAGAGCCCACCTGGCCTCTTGGCACATGGGACCTGCCTCAGAGCAGTACAGTTACCTCTGGCTCTTGAGTATTTTGTCTCGGAAAAGTATTTAAAAGCATAGTTGTAAATTAAAGACATTTTAAGAGACATGGTCCTTATCTTTGGAAAGATCACTAGAGTAAATATGTAAGTGTTAAAGTTATTAATAAATGCCTAGAAATTTATTCCACGCTTAAAATGCTATTGGAGTGTCTGCTGCATACCAGGGCTTCAAACCGGTTCATTCTGGTTTGACCCCCTGCTGTTGGGGTTGCCCTATCCACCCCAGATACACCAAATCAGAATCTACAGTTTAACAAGATCACCAAGTGATTCTCCACAAGCATCATCTGCGGATCTGTAGGAATCACCTGGTTCAAAGCTCTGTGTGTACAAGGTTGTAGGCTTCAATTGTAGGCTGAGAACTAGAGAGATGAACATGACTGATCTTACCCTCCAGTAATTTACTATAATACTATGTAATATTATTTAGGATAAGGAAATACTAGAGTGATGGTCCATGGTGCTTATCCAGAAAGCTTCAGAGAGGGATGTGGCTGATAGTAAACTGTGAAGGCTTAGGACAGGGTTGGCACACTTTTTCTGTAAAGATCAAGTTAGTAAATACTTTAGGTTTTGCGGGGCATATGATTTCTAGCAACTTCTCAGTTCTGCTGTTGTAGCATAAGAGTAGCCATAGACAGGACATACACCAATGAGCATGACTGTGTTCCAGTAAAACTTTTATTTACAAAAACAGGCTGCTGGCCAGATTTGGCCCATGGGCTGTAGTTTGCCAACCCCTGGACAAGGTATACTACCATGTAATTTACTCTCACCAGTCCCTAAAGCTACCTGATCTATTTGACCTCATATTCTCTCTTTCCAGCTTAAATTCCCCTCTAGGCCAAAGGTGCGGGTTCCTACCATCCCCATCACAAAGCCTCACACTATGAAACCAGCTCCACGGTTAACACCTGTGAGGCCGGCTGCTGCCTCTCCCATCGTGTCAGGAGCTAGACGGCGACGAGTGCGGTGTCGAAAATGCAAAGCCTGCGTCCAGGGGGAATGTGGTGTCTGCCACTACTGCAGGGACATGAAGAAGTTTGGGGGGCCCGGGCGCATGAAGCAGTCCTGTGTCCTCCGGCAGTGCTTGGCAGTGAGTGTTCTGAAGGGTAGAGAATGGGGGCGGGGCCAAGGGGCCTAAGTACACGTGGTGTAGAGGAAAGTCTTTACTCCTCTACTCCTGGGGTTTGGAAGAAAGGTCTCCAACACTAAAGATGAGCTAATCTTTCAGTCTTGTCCAATTTTCAAACAAGACACCAGCATTTGAAGGACAGATCAGTGCCCTTTGTTAGAACAAGGACAGGTCAACTAAAAGGACATTTGAAAAATAAACTAGTCCCTAGTGGTCTAAAGGTTAACAGTTCAAATTCACCCAGAGGCACCTTGGAAGAAAGCCAGGGAGATCTGCTTCCAAAAGATGGCAGCCATCAAAAGCCCTGTCGAGCATGATTCTACTCTGTCTGACACACGTGGGGTTGCCAGGGGCCAGAGGAGACTTTGGTAGCACCTGGATTGGTTTTTTGATTAGAGACATACAAGAACCAAATCATCCATCTTCAGTTAAAAGGAAGCCTGAAATGATAAGGATCTAAGTCTCTTCACTTTCTGTCTTTGTTCCCTTCAGCCTAGGCTGCCTCACTCAGTCACGTGTTCCCTCTGTGGCGAGGTAGATCAGAATGAGGAGACACAGGACTTCGAGAAGAAGCTCATGGAATGCTGTATCTGCAACGAGATAGTCCATCCGGGCTGCCTCCAGGTGAGCATCCGGGCTGTCTGCAGGGGAGCAGGGGCTTGAGTTCCCAGAGCCCCCTCTGACAAACCACTGAAGACCCTGAGTCAAGCCATAGAAAAGTGGGATATGTTACACACGAGGTTGCCGCCATCCCTCCTGTAGGAAGTAGCTCTGTGATTGTGAAGACATCTAACATCAGTCCCTTTATTCAGTTGTCTGCTATGTGTCAGGCACTGTGCTCAGCCCCAAGGACAGAACAGTGACCACTCGTGGAGGTTACAGTCTGGAGTCTGGAGGCTGTTTCAGAGTCCCCAGGCCATCGTGAAACTGCTTAGTGTCTTTGGGATGCCTCACCTTTAAGTATTGCTGCACGCTTCGGCACACCTCTGGATAGTAGTCCCTGGGAGATGCTGAGGGCAATGGGGGCTGACATTTAATGAGTGCTTAATCTGTTTCAGGCTTAGTGCACAGCTGAGGGCCTTAGAAAAAAACAAGGTGGTATAGACCTCACCCTGAGATTGATTTAAGTGGTCAGTGTTCTCCCAGAGCCCCCTCGTGGTTCTAATGCAGCCAATCAGAGAACCACCGTTTACATGAATTCTCTTGTTGAATCTTTCAGACTGCCTGTAAAGTTGGGGCTACAGTGTTTCTCCTTATTTCTTTAAAGTATGTCAATGCTGGGGCTTTCTTGGCCCTTCCAGATGTCAGCTGTGTCATGACTGCCACCTGACAGGCAGTGACCCGAGGACGCTGTCACTTGTGGGAAGCATCCCAATTCCAGAGCAATTAAAATGTGGAAACATACACATCTTAAAGTGGATGACACGTGTTCTCCCCACGTTACAGGCACTGGTAGTGGTCATCCTCACCACAACCTGTGACGTGGATAGTGTTATTTGTCCCCATTTCACAGTTGGCGAACACTGAGTCAGAAAGACTTCCGGTCGGCCACCTGCTGAGAACTTGCCTTTGTACCCCAGCTACACTGAATCAGAATTTACATTTTAACAAGATCCCCAGGGGCTTCTTGTAGATCTTGTTAAAATGTAGGTCCTGATTCAGTGCATCTAGACTGGGAAGGCAAGTTCTCAGCAGAGGCGGCTCCATTTGAACTTGTTTGAAGCCCTGATAACTGCTGTGCCCCACATCACACAACCCTGTTCCTGAGTGTTCAGTTCTTTTTGCAAAGTGACATGGCTCCCTCCAAAGAAGAGACCCCACTTGATGTAAGCCTCTCCTGATGGAGACTAATTTTGATCAGGCATCCAGGTGTGAGGGTGACCAGTTTTCTGCTGGTGGGGAATGGGTATCCATGCCATTTAGGGCCCCTCCCTGGGGCATCACAGTTACCCTAGCCTGGAATGGCTCTTGGTCTTTCTTCCTTCATAGAGCAATTTTCTTAGAAATGGTTCCTCCCAAGCACAGTGGTTTTGTTGTTGTTTTGGTTTGTGTGTTTGATAAAGGAGGCAGGTTTTTTAAATGATTTTTTAACATCCCTCGGCCTACAAGATGCGCTGCTGGTGCAGTGGTTAAAGCATTTAGCTGCTAACCATAAGCTTGGCGGTTCAAACACCCCAGCTATTCCACGGGAAAAAGAAGAGGCAGTCTGCTTCCGTGAAGATTGACAGCCTTGGAAACCCTGCGGGGCAGTTCCACTCTGTCCTCTAGGGGCGCTATGAGTCAGAATCAACTCCACCGCACCGGGTTTAGCAGTCGGTCTCTCTGCTTACAGATGGATGGAGAGGGGTTGCTTAACGAGGAATTGCCAAATTGCTGGGAGTGTCCAAAGTGCTACCAGGAGGACAACTCGGAGAAAGCTCAGGTAAGGGGACTTTTTCTACACTTGCATGGTGAGGAGAAAGGAAGTGGCGAGTGTGGGAGATGGCTACACGTTTCCCTCAGCAGCTTCACTGACATGGTTTCTCTGGCCTGGGAGACTGGTGTTTGGTTTTGTATGAGATCTCTTTTCTCTGGTTAATTACTGTATTTCCTTTGGTTTAAGTTTTAATGTTTGTGTTCTTTTCTGTTGTGTTGAATATGGTTCCACTTGAGATCTACGAATTCCTGGAGTCTCTGTACTCTGGGACCCTAGAAAGAGGACCCCAGCTGGGCTGTTAGGAGGCACATGGTTAGCAGGCTCCTGAGGACTAAACCTGGAGGGGATGCCGTGGCCTGAGGCAGCCAGTAAATACAGCTGTGTACTAGAGTTTCCATTTGAGCAGGTTCACATTTTTGTCATCTTCACCCTGTGGCCTTGCAGAAAGCCCTGCCCACGTGCCTGGATATGTCCTAGGAAGGCAGCCCTTCCCCCAGAGGTGGCCAGCACCATGACCTTGGCCCAGAGCAGCTGACCATAATGGCTACTAGTAATATATATCAGCCAGAAGGACTCTGATTACTCAGGCCTGTCAAGGCAGGACCTGCTAAGGGTACATACAGAAAGAGGCAGGCTGACCTAATGTCAGTCACCATGACTACAACCCCTGCAGGTACATTGCACAGGAGCAGAGAAGAGGCTCAGGGACTTTCCCTACCTTCTTCCCTCTTCCTCTTTCTGCTGGCGTCCTCGAGTTCATATGGCTGGTTGAGCAGAAAGAAAAGGAACAGAAACTGGTGTTGTTGCTTAGGGATATGAAGTGTCTCCTTCAGGAGACTCTGAACTACTGGGTGGTTCCTGGTGGTTCCTGGTGGGGCCTGTATGAGGCTCTGTCACAGCCCAGCCAGGGTGCTGTGGAGTACATGTGCCACAGGACAGGGCTGTGGTCCTTCAAGGAATGTTGGCCTCCGTTCCTCAATCTCTCCCTGAGCAGACGGTCTCTGGTGGCAGTGCAGTTTCCTCAAAAGTTGGGACAAGAGGGGAATAAGGGGGAATGGGTTTGAAATCAAGCTGCCTGCAATCTGGATCCCAGTCCTGGCCCAGGCAGGCTTCCCAGCCACCTCAGGGAGGTTTCTGCTCGGGCGCAGTCTTGTGCTTACTGTTGGCCGCAGAGTCTAGATCACAGCTTCTCAGGAGACCACCCTTGAGCACTCGATGTCCCTCTGCCCAGAGACCAGTGATCAGTGGTCTTGGTGCTGAGTGCCACAGTGAGCCCCACCCCCACCCCTGTCAATCCTGAGGGTTTGGAAGAAGGGGGGCCCTGACCTTGGTTTCTCGGGCCTGTTTTGCAGAAGCGGAAGATGGAAGAGAGTGATGACGAAGCCGTGCAAGCCAAAGTCCTGCGGCCCCTGCGGAGCTGCGACGAGCCCCTCACGCCCCCGCCCCACTCACCCACCTCCATGCTGCAGCTCATCCATGACCCGGTCTCCCCCCGGGGTATGGTGACTCGGTCATCGCCTGGGGCTGGCCCCAGCGACCACCACAGCGCCAGCCGTGATGAGCGCTTCAAACGGCGGCAGTTGCTGCGGCTGCAGGCCACAGAGCGCACCATGGTACGGGAAAAGGAGAACAATCCCAGCGGCAAAAAGGAGCTGTCTGAAGTTGAGAAAGCCAAGATCCGGGGATCGTACCTCACTGTCACGCTGCAGAGGCCCACCAAAGAGCTCCACGGGACATCCATTGTGCCCAAGCTGCAGGCCATCACGGCCGCCTCTGGCAACCTTCGCCACTCCCCCCGTGTGCTAGTGCAGCACTGCCCAGCCCGAGCCCCCCAGCGTGGGGACGAGGAGGGGCTGGGGGGGGAGGAGGAGGACGAGGAGGAGGCGGAGGAGGACGAGGACAGTGCAGAGGAGGGGGGTGCGGCCAGGCTGAACGGCCGGGGCAGTCGGGCTCAGGACGGAGACGAGAGCTGGATGCAGCGGGAGGTCTGGATGTCTGTCTTCCGCTACCTCAGCCGCAGAGAACTTTGTGAATGTATGCGCGTGTGCAAGACGTGGTATAAATGGTGAGCAGGGAGTCACGGGCTCAGGAACGGGCGCGGGAAAGGTGGCAGGTTTCCGTAGAGAGCAGCAGCTGAAGGCTCGCTGGGTCCCGTTTCCCGACAGTGGGTCGGTCCTGTTACAAACGGGCCGGTGGTGCCCACAGACGTCATCGGGGAAATTTGGCCTTTTGCCTCCTCTCCCTGCTCTGTACTTTGTCCTCTGTCATCGTTGATGGTGGGCAACTGATTTGGGGGATTGTGCCAAAGCTTAGAGTTTTAAGGGCTGCAAGTTTGCTCCCAAGTCAGCTGGACTCGGCGTGGATCGTGAGAGCCTGTGGTGTGCCCTGGGCTGGTGTCACAGGTGGCTAGTTTCCAAGCACCTTCTGTTCCTCTCTGTCTCCTGGTAAAGGGAGGTACCCCTGCTTCTCACGATGGACGTGCAGGTGCTGCTGGGGCTGATGCTTCGCCCAGACAGAAGCGAAGGCCCTCTCTCTGGCACAGAGTTCTTGAGACGAGATGTCTTTCTGAACAAGCCCTGTCGTTTTAGGCAGGTGGGAAAAAGTCCCTCATGGTGATGAGCGCAGGTGCCTAGGGCATTGCTGGGTTCTCCCTAAGCTTCTGGGTCCCGCAGTGCACCCTCTCTCCATGGGGAACAGCCTGTCGCAGCAGTTCTGTGTGGTGCCCAAGCCAGCGCCAGTGCCTGGGAACAAGCAGAAATGCAGGTTCTCAGGGCGCCCCCTCCAGGCTTCTGGAATGGCTCTCTACGGGGGGCCCAGCGGTCCGTTCAGCTGGCTTTCCAGAGATGCTGAGACTTGCCGATGCTTGACAACCACTGAGTTCTTACAGATTGTTCGTTTCTGCCCTGGGAGTTTCTTTCATGTGCAGTTAGTGAAATTTTTGCCACCTTTAAAGAAAAACTCTGTTCTTTGCTGACATGAGTTTGTTTCTCAAATCTGAGTTGATATGTAATCTCCCAAAATTTTCTTAATGTTTCTGTGTGGCTCACAGGCCTGCCTGGCTTGATGCCTTGGTTTCCTTGCTGAAACGAGTAAGGCTCGCATTCTCTGCCCTTGCTCCAGCCAGGCGGGGCAGGCAAACGTTACAGCAGAGCCGCACAGTGCCACGCTGTTTGTGGCGTGTGGACTGTGGACTGCACCAGAAAGGCAGCCCCTCCCTTTCAGCTCTGGTCTGCACTGCCGAAAAAGTCAGGAACACCAGGCAGACACCCACGGTGGGCGAGGCCTCTAGGCTGGTGACCAGGAGCTGCTAGGCCAGACCCGGGCATGGGCTGTTTCTAGAGCACCAGGCCCGGTGCACTGTAAAATGCTTCGAGAAGCTCCCTGCTTCTCCGGCAGCTGGGGGCCACTGACAGAGGAAAGGTGGAGGCCAGCTGGGGAGCCTCAGGCAGTGAGAAGTCAAGAAACTTGACTGCTCCCAGGTGCACCTTCTGAGCCTCACCATTTTAGTGCAGATTGGAAGCAATGTAGTGTTGTATTCTCTTGAGTAAATCATGGTGAACTGGTCACAATGTACACTGATATGCAGGGCCCTATGTAATTTAGTTGCTGTAGGCAACTATGGGCCAAAGTATTCTCTGTGGCAAAAAAATGACAGGACATGATCCTCGTAGAAGGACCTGGGGAGTGGGATGCTCCAGGTGCTCTGCTTTTCCCAGAAGCCCCCAGCAGTCCAGTGATAGGACTGCCTTTGACAGAGCTGTCAGGTGTGTGATCGCTAATTCTCTGCCCTTGTGTCACAGGTGCTGTGACAAGAGACTTTGGACAAAAATTGACTTGAGCAGGTGTAAGGCTATCGTACCCCAGGCTCTCAGTGGCATCATCAAGAGGCAGCCAGTCAGCCTTGACCTCAGTTGGACCAACATCTCCAAAAAGCAACTGACGTGGCTTGTCAACAGGCTACCAGGTGAGCAGCCCTGCCTTTGTCCCACCGGATGCTCGGAGGGAGCAGTCAGGGAGCAATGGCATTGGGAAACCTCTCAGAATGGCTTCAGGGCAATTTAGGGCCGTGGCCTCATGCTGTTGCTGCCCTACTGCTTAGCAGGAGACAGCAGGCCAGTGTCTGCACCTGACGACAAAGAGCAAGGGACCCTGGCGGGGACACCAAGGCACATGCTGCCTTCCTCAGCTCCTTGTAAGCCCTTGTTCTCCTTGGGAAATAGAAAGTCATTGTCACTTGCGTTGCTGTAGTAGGAACTAAGCAATCCGCATCGGCGTAGCAGCCATGAGATGGCACGCAGGAAAGCCTGGGGCTGGGGATCCATTTGCCTCTCGGGATCAGCTTGGCGTGGTTGGGGGACAGAGGGTGTGATTGCGCATCATTCTTCCCACCTTTGGCAGGACTGAAAGACCTCCTTCTGGCGGGCTGCTCCTGGTCTGCCGTCTCAGCCCTTAGCACCTCCAGCTGCCCCCTTCTCAGGACCCTGGATCTTCGGTGGGCAGTAGGAATCAAGGACCCTCAGATTCGAGATTTGCTAACTCCACCAGCTGATAAACCAGGTAGAATGTGGGCCTGACTTTGCTGTTCTTGGGGTAGTTCTGTCTTTGGACAGACCTGGTTCTTAGAAGTGAAGGTGGTCTCAGGAAGATGTTATACACGAAGAGAGTGTGAGCAGAGTGGGGGACTGTATGCAGGTGCAGGTTAACTATTTACTGGCAGACAATGGTCTCCAAACAAAGGAGTGACTCCATTTTGTGGGACTGAGGGACTGAGGGCCTGAGGAAGTCTGGGAAGGCTTAGTGGTTGAGGTGGAATGGCAAAAGCTGTTGACATGAGGGTGTGGGAAGGGGCGGAGCATTCCAAACATACCCTTTTGCTGTGTAAGTAAGGCACAATCTAGCAGCTGGGAAAAAAGGAAACTTGTCTGGTTTCTTAGAAACGGCCCCCACCCACTGCTAACTCCCTGAAGGCAGGCCTGGGTGTGGGCAGTTCTGCTGCTTAGCACTAAGGGGCCTGGCCAGCAAGGAGCAGAAGCTGCCCAGAGCGCTGGCTAGGGGTTAGAGTGTTAAGAGTCTTGATCTAGGTGCCTCCCGTTGCCCGTGCAGGTCAGGACAATCGCAGCAAGCTCCGGAACATGACCGACTTCCGGCTGGCAGGCCTTGACATCACGGACGCCACACTTCGCCTCATCATCCGTCACATGCCCCTCCTGTCTCGACTCGACCTCAGTCACTGCAGCCACCTTACAGACCAGTCCTCCAATCTGCTCACCGCCGTCGGGTCTTCCACACGCTACTCCCTCACGGAGCTCAACATGGCAGGTGTGCAGTTGTGGGCATGCGATAAGCACAGCCACCCTGTGGCTGCTGTTTGGCAGCTGTGCAGCCCTTGGGCCCTTGGTCACACAGTGTGCGGGGGCTGCGAGAGGCCACCACCTTGAGAGCACTCTGGTCCAGGAGCCAGGTGGCTGGGGACTAGGCGGGCTTCTGTGGAGCATTGTAAGGGAGGCAGGCACCCCTAGAGGGCAAGGGGGGCTGGGGGCTTACAGGCACTGAGCACGGCTCTCCTGGCACTTTCCCCACAGGTTGCAATAAATTGACAGACCAGACCCTGATCTACCTGCGGCGCATTGCCAACGTCACCTTGATTGACCTTCGAGGATGCAAGCAGATTACTCGGAAAGCCTGTGAGCACTTCATCTCAGACTTGTCCATCAATAGCCTCTACTGCCTGTCTGACGAGAAGCTGATCCAGAAGATCAGCTAAGAGCCGCCCAGCCCAGACGGAACAGGAAACGACCTTCCCGCTTCCCTGAGAGGAGAGCCTCTACCCGACCCCGAATGGGCTCTGAGGCCAGTGGCACACTCCCTCTCCGCTCCCCCGTCCCGTGAGCCTTTCCCCCTCCAGGCGGGGCAGGGTGGGTGGTGGACACCAGGCTTACCCGCTGCTTCTCTCTTTGCAAGGAGGAGGGAGTAGCCCCTTGATCTGAGGGAGAGCGCAGGCTGTGTGCTGTCGAGGTGCCTGCCCGCCCGCCCACCAGGAGGCTGGGCTCTCAGTTTGGGGGTGTTTGTGCCAGGGTCATCCGCACTGGGCACTGGGCCCTGGGCCGTCAGCCCTCCTCCCACCAGTGGGCCCCAGGGAAGAAAGAAGGCCTGACCCTAAGGCCAGGCTCTCCTTGTGGTGCCCAGTTGCGTGTCTCTCCTCTGTCACACTCTCCCGGCTTATACAGGAGGAACCAGCCTCCCCAGAACGCCAGACCCATGCAAATCACACTGGTGCTGTAGAGATTCTCACACCCCTCGCCCCCGTCTGCGCGTGCCCTCCTCTGCCCTCCAGTTAGCTTGATGCCGTCAACGCTCATGGTAGTTTCAACAATGGGGTTTCCCAACCTGCCCTGTCCCCGTTCCCCCCCCCGCCCCCCCGCGACTTCCCCACTAGTCTCTCTGAGGTCCTTGTTGCACTTACTGGGGTTGAGACTAAAGGGGAGCTGGGACTGTGCCCCCCTTGGGGCCACCCCCACTGTATTGCTTCCCAGGCAGGTTCTGAGACGGGTACCATCTGCCTGTCCCCGGTTTTGTCCTCCGCTGCCCCTTTCCATTGTCCAGTTCTGCCCAAGTAGGGCTTTTCCAGCATGGCCTCAGAGGCCACAGGGGACTGGACGAGGCCCACCTGCCTCCCAGCCAGGCCCCAGTCCAGGCTGTGTTTCCCCCCAGTGGCTCACCAACCCGGCCCCTCTGGGTGGGATCCTGCTTAGAAGCCAGTCGCCTGCCCTCTGCCTGCAGCCAGGGAGGGGGGTGTGCTTGTGCCTCTGTGTGTGTGTGTGCGCACGCGTGTGTGTGCGCGTGAGCGCGCTTGTGCGGAGGCGGGGAGGAGCCTGTCTCTCCTGCTCCGCCACCCTGTCAGAGCCCTGTCAGCTGCCCCCTGTACTTTGCATTGAACGGCCTGTCCAAAGATCCTCTCTCTAGGGCAGCAGAGAGCTTTTTGCACTTTAAAAAAAAAAAAAAAGGAAAGAAAGGTCGGAATTTCTTTTGGGTCACTATTTAAGTGTGTGAGGAGATGCTCATAGCAGCAGCCTGCGGCCAGAGCTTATACGTGAAAGACGCAAATTTGCACTCTGCTCCCGTCTGAGGGTGTTGATAGCACAGCCCCCCCACCCCAGCCCCTTCCAGCCTGTCCCCGTAGCCCAGGCGCAGACTCTCTTCCCCGAGCCCTACCACGGGGAGGGGGGTGGAGCCAGAGGAGAGACGTGACCACCCTTCCATAGTGAAAGTCTCCAGCTTTGACCCTGGCATCGACCGGCTTCCTGAGAGAGAAATGGGTCAGGGCATTGTGTCCGTTTCTTCTGATCTGCTGATTCTCGGCTGCACCTTAAAAACACCAGTCTGCTCCCTCGAACCTCTGTCCCTTCCGTTGGTCTCCAGGCCCCAGCCATCTGGGGCTGACACTCGAGGAAATGCCAGTGACTTACTCCAGAGTGCCTCATTTAGGGGGACTTCTCTGTAAAGAACCCTGGGTGTTGAGCAAAAACCTTAGTTATATTGGCAAGGACTATGATTGGAAGCTTCCTGCCTTTTTTTGGTCGCTCCTGTGGAAATACTGCAAAGATGACCCTTTTTTTGTTTGCTTTTTTGTCTTTTGATAAAAGGGGAGGTGGTGAGACCCCTTCAGAGCAGGGATTGTGCCGGGAGAGTGCCTCTGACTTTGGGACATTGCATCCGCAGAAATTTCCAAGCTGATCGTTTGTTTGGGGTTTTGTTTTGTTTTTTTGTTGGTTGGTTTTGGGTTTGGAAAAACAAGCATTTGCCGTGCACGTCAGTTGGTCAGCAGGAGAGGGAGCCAGGAGCAGCAGCCGGACCGGTGCCCCACTGGGTTGTGTCCTCTTCGGGACTGTGAGGGGAACGCATCTGGTCCCCGGTCCCTGGTCCGTGTGGAGAAGCAGCGAGGGCCCTGAGGAGCTCTGACGCATTTCCCGCAGTCCGCTCTTAGCTCAGGCCTGGCCAGGAGAGCCTGCCTGCCCTCCGTGCTGAACCAGACCCCTGCCTCCGTCTTTCCAAGCACCGGGCGCAAGCCACTGAGGAAAGGAAGAAAATTTATATATATATATATATATATATAATATAAAATCACTTGGTGATTAAAAAAATAACTGCTCCATAAATAAAACTCCTAAAGTCACTATGTTTAAAGGGTTTGGTTGTGTTTTGTGTTTTTTGGAGAAATACTGTAAATATATATTTTTTTGTTGCCGATTTAGAGTTCATCTCCAATGTTGTGCTAAAAATTGAAATTAAATGTAAGCATTACGGGGTAAGGCTTCTGCTGTCTCAGTTGGCACGTGGGGGTGATTTGGGGCCATAGCAGGAAGGAGGTTTCTCCACCTCTGGTCTTAGAGCAAGGACATCTTTACTCTGACACGTGGGAATGGGCGATATTCATGAAGAAAATTTTTAAAAGACAAAAAAAGAAGTAGCCTCTAGTGGGAAATAGTTTGATTTGGGTTTTGTTTTTGTTTTTCAGGTTTTTTCTTTTTCTTTTTTTTTTAATAAAAAGGCTTTAAAAACAAGAACGGAACCTCTTCTGCCTTGGTGTGTGTGTGCCCGAGAGTAAGTCGGAAGGCCATGCAGACTCCTGTGTGTGTGGCCGAGGCTGGGGGTGCCCTGTAGTGGGACTGCAGTGGGCCAGCACTTCTGGTCTCCTAATGTCAAAAGGCAATGCTTGCTTCTAGAAACAAAATTTTCTTCCAAATCAAACTCGCTGCCATCGAGTTGATTTGACTCATAGCAACCCCTCGGGTTTCTGAGGCGGTATCTCTCTGGAAGTAGATTGTCCAGTCTTTGTGGGTGTCTAGTGAGAAATTTAAGCCTGAGATTACCTCACACTCTCTCTCTCTCTCTCTCACTCACACACACACACACACACACACACACACACAACAGGACTAGAAGGGACTCCTGAAATGGGCCTAGGGATTTCAAATTAACCATCCCCACCAAGGCCAACCTCCATCAGCTAAAGCTGCAGAATGGGCCTCATGAGGCCAGCTCAGGGCCACCAAGCAGGTCGCGGCCATGTCTGGCTCTAGTCGGCATTTTCCCACCTTACACCGTGTGTGTCAGCAAGTGGGGTACAAGTCCCTTGTCTTGGCCAGCAAGCCACATGCCTTAGGTGCCACCCAAGCACTGTCTTCCCCTACCGGTCCCAGCTGTCTCTGGAGACTGAAGCCCCTACCTGGGAGGCACTGAGCAGGCTTTCATCATGGCTTCCAAGGGTGTCCCGGTTAATGCAGGATCCCTGCCCATCCTATTGCCCAAGTGGTTAAGGGCCATCTCCAGTCTGCTGTTGAATAAAGGATGGGGACTTGGTGACCGGTTGACTTAATGTTGATCTCCTGAGAACAGACATGGACGTGGCTGTGTTGACAGGAGGTGGGCCCATTTTGCCACTTAAGTATCTCGGGATACTGCTGGGTAATCTCATCACTGCCACCTTACTCCAAGCCACCACTGTCTGGAACCTCAGCTGCACCACCAGCCCCCAGGTCAGCCCTGTCCTATATGTTGGCTACCAGGACATTTTAAAGATAACATTTGATGACACTCTGCTTAAAACACTCAGTCCTCTTGTTCGGCATAAAGTCTAATCCTGGCCTCATCATGGTCCTTGGGCTGCCAAGGCCCCCTCATCACTCAGCATTTTCCCTCTTCTGCTCTGTTAGGTGGGAATTGCTGAACAATATCTCTAATATTACACACAGGAAAATTTTGCTCAAGAAAATTTACAAAATGGTTGCAGCAGAATGTGGACAGGGACCTGCTGGAAATTCAAGCCAGATTCAGAAGAGGGTATAGAATGAGGGATGTCATTGATGTCAGCTGGATCTTGCCTGAAAGGAAAGAATACCAGAAAGATGTTTACATGTGTTTTATTGACTATGCAAAGGCATCAACTGTGGATTATAAATTATGGAAGATATTTTGAAGAATGGGAATTTCCAGAGCACTTAATTGTGCTCATACAAAACCTGTACACAGACCAAGAGGCAGTCATTCAAACAGAACAAAGGACTATTGTGTGGTTTAAAATCGGGAAAGGTGTACACCAGGGTTTTATCTTCTCACCATACTCAATCTGCATGCTGAGCAAATAATCAGATGATTCTGTATGAAGAACAACAAAGCATCATTAACAGTCTTCCAAATGGAGATGACACGATGTCAACATAAAACAAAAAGAATCCTCACAACTGGACCAATAAGCAACATTATGGTAAACAGAAAAGATTGTTGTCAAGGATTCCATTTTACTTGACTCCACAATCAGTGCCCATGGAAACAGCAGTCAAGAAATCAAATGACATACTGCATTGGACAAATCTGCCACAAAAGATCTCTTTCGAACATTGAAAAAGCAAAGATGTCACCTGGTGGACTAAGGTACACCTGACCCAAGCCATGGTCTTTTCCATCGCCTCAGTATGCATGGGAAAGCTGGACAATGAATAAGGAAGACCCAAGAAGAGTTGATGCCTTTGAATTATGGTTTTGGCAAAGAATGCATGGGAAAAAAGCAAACCTATCTTGGAAGAAGTCCAGCCAGAATGCTCCTTAAAATGTTAGGTGAGACATCATCTCAGTTTTAACATCAGGAGGGACCAGTCCCTAGAGAGTAGTATAAGTCAATGAAAAAGATGAAGACCCTCAATGAGGTGGACTGACACAGTGGCTACAACCATGGGCTCAAACAGCACCGATCGTGAGGATGACGCA